TCTTTTCTTTCTTTTGATGAAAAGAAATTAAAATCATCCCAACAGTATCCTCCAGTACTTATTACTTTGTAGAGTTTCTAGGCTACGTATACAATTAGGTATTTTATCACGTATTCAAATCTCTAATTGGTTTCTGACATATTATTTTCGCACCATCATTACCTTATTTTCATTCTTGCACAATAAAAAACTCAGTACCTTACACCTAATGCTCTTGTACTCTGCACTAAAGGAAAGAAAAAACAAGATGAATAATAACAGGCTCTATTTCCACTAAGCTACTAGTAATTTATTATACCTGCAATCTTACAAGGTTAAGGTATTATTACAGAAAACTGCCCGCGTTCACAAAGGTTCTTGTCCCTTGTTGTGTAATATCATATGCCTGTCTCAAGGAGAGGGTTCGCTTCCTCCATTGTAAACCAACCTCCTGGATTGTAGTCTTTCAGTTGGCAAAGTGTACTGTTCAAGTCTCAAGTTATAATGGACGTGTCAGTCCAATGAGTATATGAATACAGTGCCCGGCCAATAAGAATAGCAACCAGTAATTGTGCGAGCTGTCACACTTGGGTGTGCATTGAGTATGCAATTTTTAACTTCCTTTTAAAATCGTCTTATTTGTGTGTAATTTCCAAGTGACATGTGGACAACTGCTCTAATAATATGATTTGTGTAAAGCTTTGTCTTTTCGAACACTGTCGTTGAAATTGCGTCAATTTACACAACGTCCAAGAATAACAGGCAAACTAACAGGTAATCCGCTTTTATGATCTTAGAGTGACAAAAGCTAGCCTTTCTTTTGTTTCGAGTCTTTTATGTTACTAAATCTTTTTTGCAAAGTAATTTTATGAAGTCAAGGAATCTTTACATAAAACTGTCATTAAACTTAACACTTTAAGCGCTATTATGGCATATTGTAGCGAGGATCCTTTTTAATATCCAGGGAACAGTTTATGTTTATGTGCTGTCATAAATAAGACGTCTAGAAATATGAGATTTATAGTCTATGCTTCCTAAACACGGCATTATTAAGTATGCTTTATTAAATTTTATACCAAGGCCATCGTACACATGCTAAATGACACAACTTTTCACTTTCTGTTAACACAAGGAAATTGACATTTTGCAATGTCCATAACAAATTCACATAGAAACTCTCATACAAATCCAAATAGAAAAGAATTAATGAACTGTAAACTTGTCAAACGAACTTTCGTCAGTTTTTCGTATTCAAATGCATAGGTAGTGATTGTGTTCTCGCTCGTCTGGACCATTGTGCCCCGGTCTATTGATTCCAGTGAGGGGCGTGATTCGACCGTGACGTACTGGTACGAAGTGTACACGTATATATGTTGCTAGTTACTCGATGACTGGCTATCAAGAACATAAAAACCATTTTAGATTGAACAAAAATTTTAATTTTTAGGTTAAGTAAATAAAAATATAACTTAACCTCGACGACCTACAAATTTAAACGTTTTACCTAAATAGTTATTACTTAAGGTAGATATATGTGTAAAGACAAAATACTTTTTTGAGATATAAAAAATCCATAACCCACTTTTAGAATATTGAAATTGTTTAATGATATTTCAGCTATGCGTCGTTAGGTAAGTTCCGATAAGACGTACACATTAACTAATTTTAACTATTTTTCAAAGATAATGTTGTGCTGTATCTTTTACTAATTAAAACGGATATTTGACCGTTTGTCACTTAACCGCGTTTTTTTCTCAACTCAGTTTTATTTTTCATTATTAGCCGGGTGCAGCAAGCGAACACCCTATATAATGATCCTCTGTATATAAGATCATTGCATAAGATGAAGTAGGTAGCTATGTAAGTGGCAGGAAATAAAAAACGCCATTAAATATAAGATAAGTCGAACCAATCGCAGAACGCGTAAAACTTTAGAGGATGGAAAGAATGGGGTCTTCACGACGGATGATGCGAATGAAGCTTCATCCTTGACATGGTCTTTCGATATGGTCGAGTATTACTTATTTGACAGTCATTCTTTCAGACGGATGTCGGAATTACAGGAGAAGACGGACAGGAGTAGACCCCCTAAGCGTAAAACCATGTAAAACTATGTATTTTGACTAATGTTCAATTGTCAAGAGGAGTAAACTGTCACCGAAAGGTAGAATATATTTTCTTCTACCATTTCTGATTAAAATTATTGAAAAGAAATTGAAATGCGTACACTGTTATCGAACGCGATTAGAGCGTTAATGAGACATGAAAAGTTATGTGATATTTATCGCTAAGATTACAAAATTGCAAATTATCGGTTCTTTTTCGTAGTTTTGTAAACCACCTTAGTCTTGTATTAATCTATATTATTTGACAATAATATTTAACTAAATTAGTTGAAAATCTTCAGAGGTAAAAATTCAAGTTTCTGTGGTATAAGTACCTATAAAACGTGAAAAATATCAGCTGTTCCGTATCTATTATTGGACAATATATATTTCACAAACACGTTAAATATTTCATGATTAGAAATAGTCCTAACGAGATAGAAGGCTGTCATTAGCTTATTGTGAAAGAGTTCGTCCAGGAAACTACTACCACGATACCTGTTTCTGCCGCCAAGCAGTAATACGAGCATTTCCATTCTGGTTTTGAAGAGTAAGAATGGTGGTAAAACTACAGGCACTTGGGACTTGTTAAGTTTATTTATCAGGGAGGTGAGTGCACTGGCAGTGCTCCCTAGATCTTTGCGATTTAAAGCCCTGAGTGGCACTGCAAATGTTATGGATCATTAGGGTTAACACGATGAGGCGCGACTAGCACGAGAGCGACAGAAAGCGCGAGACACTGCTATTGTCGCACTCTTTATCGTGCTAGACGTACTGGTGAGTTGCTACCACCAGGCAACACGCCAATCCATGACAGTAGAAGTGCCACTTAGACCTTTAAATCGGAAAGATCTAGAAACACTTCAAATTATTTCATCTATAAAATTCCGATTTATTATTATAAGAATAACGCATTTACATACCATAAAAAATATTATGAAAAATTATTATTATCAAGTTTTCGTTATCGCAACTGTTTTATGTTCTAGATAATCCCTCTTCAGTGGAATTGGAATGTAATTTGTGTCACTTGTTGATATAATTTTACACGATATAATTTTGGTGTTGCAGTTTATTCTACAAGCACATGTCATTTTAATAGTACGTGACAGGCTTTGTATTTCTAGTGTACTTAACGACATCGATAAATTTTAGCACCTTGTAAAGAATGGCCTGAAAATCATATCATCTTACTCTCACTCTCTCTCTCTCTCTCTCTTTCTCTTAGACCTGCAACCCAAAAGGAAGGCATACCAATTTGTTATATAACGATTCCACTGGATATTATACTCAAATCAGATCGCAAGCAACGGACCGAACAATTCTTTTTATATTTCTTTATAATCTTATTAGTTTTTCGTTTTATTACACTTTCCAAATTTAGGTGAACTTTTCATTGCAGCCTTTTTTATGACATTTTTGTTATTGTCTCTTGGTTTTGGTTTGCAGATTACATTGCGTAATCAATGAATTGCCTCCGTGGCCGAACGGTTATCAGGTCCTGGATAAATATGTCTATGGCCTACATCTATTTCTCTCGTGAGTTTGGATGTAATTTATGGTTGTCTATGTGTGTGTCCATGGTACCCGCGGCACCGGGGTTTCCTTTGCGGGGCTTTAAAAAAATCTGGAAGGACATTTTATTTTGTTAGCTTACTCTATCTGCTGCGTGTGATCGATATCTCACTTATTCCCTGGTGGATTATAGAAACGAGGCTTAAAACTTGGCACATTTTCTTAGTTGTCAAGGTATTTTATAGTATCTACTTAGTTTATTTACTCTTACCCACTATACAAAGGAGAAAACGACAAATTATGTGGATCATTAATATTATTTAATGCACTTTAAATTTATAAATCAAATTAATATTAATTTAAAAACAATATTTTACATTCATTCTTTCCGCGAGTGACTATCAACTTATTAGTATTGCAATCTTTTAATTTAATACGACCCAAATTTCAAGTAAACCAAAAGGTAAAATTATAAAATGTCAAACTCTAGTAATTTCACAAGCTTTCTTGAACAAAAATGTCAAGTCATACATTATTGATGAGCATGAATTATATTGGTATCAGATTAGTTACGTGGTATAAAATATATATAATAGTATATAAATTCTGGTAACGTAATTTAAACGAAATTTGCATAGGAACCACTTGTTTAGCTGTGACGAAATCCTTGAGCTATCGCGCAGATTCCGTAGAAAGTTAATAAAACTCTTATTTGCAGATTTTACCCTATCACTAAACTTCACTAAGATAAGAATTCCATTATGTCTGGTAGTAGTCAACGTAAGTATAACTGGTAATTTTGAAGCACGTGTCATAAACAGATATAGAAATCGCAAATAGAACTGATTGATGTAAACATAAAAACCCTGCACATAGTCTAATCTCTGTGTAAACAAAATTTAAGAAGCCATCATTATTTTTCTATGGTTCGTTGAATGTAACGAATACAGATATGTAGCTACTTTTTGTTACCAGAAGTATGGTAAAGGTGATGACAATTACTTCTTATTTCAATGAATTATATAGTGCAACGAGAACTCAACAAAACACATCTACTCTAGTGTTTGTGTATTACTAAATAAATACCGCAAAGTAAATATAGTAAGAAATATACTTATTTACTATTAAGTTGAAAGAAAATAGTTGCTAAAAGTTGACTAAACGATCTATTGCTTTCTCCTAATATTTAAGATATTTCTAAATCTGAATCTGTATAAAACGTAATTAACGACATAATTAGCATAACACGTTTAGAACGCTAAACACGTCCAAGCGTATTTTAAAACGCTCAAAGCCAGTCCACGGGCGAAAGGACTGCAAACCCTTTTACCTATATGGAGAAGGTATCACAAGACTGACATGCTCGAAGATAACTATGTAACTTCTAATAAATAAACTCACCGGAGTGTTATGTTTATTTTTCCGTGCACAGATTGTCGAGAACTGCATTTACGTAAAGCAATACTGCAGAGGAAGCGTTAGTTCCGTTCCGCGATGCGTTTTATGGCACACTCCAAAAATACACAATGTTCAGTAGATATGCACTTGTATATTGGTTTGCGATGAGGCAAGTGTTGCAACGCGCGTGGCGACGAACAATACAGGCACCCCAAGTGGCGGCGCGAGGCGAACTGACGGACGGACGGCTGCGTGCTTTAGGTTCGGAAGCGCCGCCACTGCCGGCCTGGGACGAGCGACCGTGAAAGAAGGGCCGCAAACCCGGCGGCGTTTTTTGTCCCGTCTAAGTTTAGCAAACACCGTCTGGCTAAACCCATTCAAGTCTGATCCGAGCGGACGTCAACGAACAAAATTGTTTTGTGAAACTGTCAACGGAATGTACTGAATGCATGCGAGCATACTCCGATTGAGTGGGTTACTTATACATTCACACGCTTCCTACAATTCACTAACTAAATTAGTTTACAAAAAACATCCGTTAAAAAAATTTATAAGTAATTTAGAGACGTTATCCAGATGCCTATTATTTTTATTTAAGCAAACACAAAGATAAAGTCGGTTTTAGAAAGTCGTTTATTTTGATACGTAAGATAAATTTGCTCATATTATATTTACTTGGCACTGTATTCAACTGAAACTAAAAAATGCAGCAAGTATAATATGTATACTCAACGGTTTAATAGTCTTTATATCTTATGTATATAATTTTACTAATTTATTCAAGGTTGGGGGATTATTTACTATGCTATTTAGAGTAATATCTCGTTAAATATTTGGCCAAGTGTTTTTTTAGCATTGTTTAAAATAAAGTACTTTCAAAATTCGTGATCCGAAACGAAGCAACTGAGATGCCTACTACATATTTAAAAAAAAACTAAAAGAAAATCAAAAAGGTATTTCTTTATCCATTACAGTGGTTACACACGGCGACTTTAGCTGGTATGTAAATGCGCGTTCGTGAAACGCGCATTTACGATTTAAGGCGCGACTGCATCGATAGAAACGCGCGATTGCGTCGATACAAACGCGCGATTGCATCGATACAAACGCGTCGTATTTGTATCGCTGCTTAAAGTCGTCCATGTGAGTCGTCCATTGAGATGGAGAGAGCTTATCGCACGCTTCGTGACGAAAAATCGTATGAGATTATCGCAAGCAATAATCGCCATAAGATTATCGTATCAAAATGTTTACGTACAGGCAAGAACTAAAATCTCGCGTACGATTATGTTATACGAGATTCGCAAGAAACTTAATCGCCTCTTCGATTGTTTACACAGAGAAACTACTAGCAAGGATATTCTAGTCTACGCGTTCTCGACTTGTCTTAACTCGACGTATGACATTTTTTCAAGTTCATACGATTATCGTCCAAATCGTTTCGTACCATTTTGAGTGTGAGAATTACCATTCGAGTTCAGTGTTTACTGCCGTATTGACTATGGATATATCAAAATGACGCAAAAATCATTCAAATTTGGAACTGCTGATAATATTAAGCTCATTGAAGTTTACAGAAATATATTTTTTATAATATTTTATAATATTACTTTTTTAATTTTGTAACATTTTTTAAACCAACATTTTTTTCGTTTTCGTTTCATTAATTATTGTTTTAGAAATCCAGTGATAATCAAAACACCCTCACGTACTGCACTCATAGTAGCGACTGGCTGGCACAAAAACTCGAAATACGATTTTTGCTATTAAGTTTTTACATGGAGACGTTCAGTATTCAAAGCGACGCGAGGCGATTATCGCGCACGTGGAAGGACTATAATCGTAATCCTATCTAAATCCTAATGTTTAGACGAGGAAAGTTTTTTATATTCTTTCGATAATCGTATCTTCGAGACAAGAAACTCTCTCCATCTAAATGGGCTTTAGGTAGACGATTAGCTACACCATCGCTGCTAAATGTCGCCTTGTGTAACCGCTCTAAAACCTTGATTCAAACAAACCGTAACAGAATAAAATTAGGTACTGTGGACAAAACGAACGGAAACTTCAGCATTGTTGATTTTCAGTCTTTACGTACAGCTATTAGTTTGCTCTACCAAGTTATTATACAGAAGCTGTCTGTGGTACACTTTACGTGATATTTGTGAAAGTCAAAAAATTTTAACATTCTAAATTTATTTATTTAGTGTCCCTATTTCAACACGTTAGTTTATTAGTCATTGCCTACACACTTCACAAGCGCCATATCTAATTGTTATGTACTGACAAAGTTAACCTCATTAGGATGTTTAATTTGCGCATGTACAATTATTTATTATTTCACGTCATGAAGGATGTTTTAGACAAGGCTAACTAACCTACACAAGATGTTACTTTAGTCACAAGGGGCGAAAAAAAATTGCTGCTCCTATATTTTAATAAAAAAAGATTAAAGAGAGTGAATATTTGTATCAGTGAACAAAAAAATACCTTTCTAGAATATTCTTTTTCTTCTTTAGCCTTTAGTCGCTCACTGCTGAGTGTAGGACATTATCACGCCATTCTCTTCGATCTTAACTTATTCGCAACCAGGTTTTTTTTGGTTACTTTGACTATATCGTCGGTCCATCTAGCCTCTGGCAGCTGACGCTTCAGGTACCGGTCCTCGGTCTCCAGCACTCTTCACCTACAGCGGTCATCGCTCCTGTGGCTTATGTAACCCTCCCATCGCCATTTCTTTGCGCAATGACACCTGTATATTTAAAAAAATAAGATTAGAAACGTCCAAAATTTTAACGTTTAATGCTCCCACATCTTTAACATGACATTCGTAGAGAGGCTTTAATTTCGAACAACAAAATTTTGTATCTAGTTACTTAACATTTTTGATTTATTACTTTATTTATAGCGATTTCGTTACCTGTAAACTTATTGTTACCTCTTAAAGAACGTCAAATAAAGCTACAACGAATGGCATTTATTAAATGTATGGGGCGTTTAACATTAAAATTTTGGATACTCTAGTTTCATTTTAAAGACGTAAATACTCGTTAGATAACTACGTACTATATATAACTACGTACTTTCGATATCAGTTTAATGGTTTTAATATGTCCCTGGATTAATCGCCTGGGCACACTTAACGATTACACCCAGTATATTTCTATATTACTGCTTATCTGATCTAATGAAGAGTTTGAACTTGTTCGTTCTGTACTTGAAAATTTCTAACACCAATATAGTTCTGAAGCAACAACAAAACAATTTTCTCTAATATAATTGAATGGTCTTGGGCGTGATGCAGATATAAATAGAATAAGTTTGAGGCGTATTAGTTTATCACTTTATGTCCATTAAAGTGTGATATCTGACAATTGGTAATATGCCCATTGCTTTTTTGAGTTATATAGTCACTACTGTTTCCAAATACAGAAATTTTCGAGATTTTTCACATATTATTTGATCTTAAAATTGGGACTTAATCGTGTATAAATCAATTTTATTTATCTCAACGTTACACGACACGTAACGTCCATGGTCTCTAAGGGACCACCACCCCATATATAGGAGTCCCTTCGGGAACATGGATGTTGCAACACGTCCCGATTTTAAAATCAAATATAAACAAGGATTTTGAACCAATTTTTTGCCTAAGATGTGGTATTCCCGTTCACCTATCCCTTCTTTACTTAGGTGTTGGGAAAGCGATTATAGATGAGTAGTATTGTGTCTGTGTAAATTGGGTTGTTGTTGCCACCCCAACTATCATGCGCGGCGACATGACAAAAACGTTATTTTGCGAAGCCTTTTATCAATAATAATGTCTAAAATGGTGGTGACATGGTTTTGAAGTTTATATATAAATAATATGTCGGAGGTCATTTTATGTTAGTAAGTACAGAGATATGTCTGTACGTAGGTCGAGTGTTCCGGGACCGGGCGGCCAGGAAGACACGTAATGTAATAGAAAACGTATTGCACAATCTTCATGATCGGGAAGTCGATTCAGATGGTCTTCCCTTCCCTATTATGTAGCTAAATATCTGGTTTACATAAATACTTACCTTCATATGGTATCTCGTTAGTTTCAATTTATTTACCAGGAAGTTTGAAAGGTCACGATTAGTTTACACGTTATATGCAAGTACCTATTTGTCGAAGTGAAGTTTTCTTAAGAGCATGAGCAATTATTCTCAGCAGCAACCTGGTCATAAGTAGCTCAATATTCTAATCAACAATATAGTTTATTGTATATTGATTTCTCAATTCTGAGGATCGCAACTCTTTTGAATATCTTTCCACTTTGCTCGGTCTTCAGAAGATAGTATTATATGTAGGTTATTATGCAGCCATCTGTCCTCCTATTATCTGGTATACTAGATAGAGGTATCACTCTATCAAGTCTGCAGACATGATCCTCATAACTTAAAACATCTTGAATATCGCTCGGTTGCTTGATTACAGACATTTTGCAGTTGAACTGAGAATAACAAATAGTTTGACCAAAATTGTGACCTTGATATACATTACATATACAGTGACAAATTCGCAGCTTTAGTTATACCTTCCAAATTTTACTTTATAAAGTTATTCGTAGCATTAGAGCTACTTGTAAAAGAGTTCGGAAGTACTGCCACCTTTCCTATTTCTGCCGCCAAGCATAATGAGAGCATTACTACGTTCCAGTTTTGACAAGCGAGGTTGCTGGTGATATTACAGACACATCGGACTTGTCAACTTATGTCTCAGGGTGACAGGCGTAGAGGTAATGCCCCTCAAATCTTTGTGATTTAAAGCTCTGAGTGCCACGGCAACTGGACGGACAGGCGTGTCGCTTACCACCAGGCGCACGACTTGTTCCTCCCGTCACTTGGTATTATTAAAAAAATACTGGCTAAACGGTTGGTTTTATATGTATCTGTATTGTATGGTTGGTCAACAATTTTAAATAAATAAGTAAATAATGGGACGTAGTTAAGCAAAAAGGATCCAATCTACAAAATTATCAAAAAATAAGTTACATGTACCAAACGGGTCCTAAACTTTTAGATCAGCAAAAAAAAAAACAACATAAATAAATATGTCTGAAGTTACTTGACATTACAAGTTTTGAAAATAAAACAAGAGTGAGAAACACTTTTAAACTTCAAACTGCCGTATCTCGAAAGTGCCTGGATCCTTTTTTAACCGACTTCAAAAAAAAGAGGAGGTTCTCACTTCGACTGT